GCTCGAAAGGGACGCTGGTAGACCATGGCACTTTAAATTTAATTGTAACATACTTCATATATAAAAATAATCTTATACAAAAATATAATAATCTATCAAGAGAGAAGTATTATTGATTTACGTAAGCAGGCAGGTTTAGTTCCTGTCCATTTTTTATCGTGCTGGCAAATGATATGCTTATCGCCTTTCAAGGTGTGGTTCGTTTTGCAGCTGAACTCGATTTTGCTTTCATAAACGTATTTCTCCAAATCGGGATTACGACCACCAAAGTCAACTTTCCCAGGGTCTTGGCACTCGACAGCTAAAARCAAAAATAGTGTACCAGGGCTTTAGTCTATGCTAACTTAAGTACAATTTGTACAATGATTTTTTATAGGTGACTTACGTTCACAACTGGTCAAAGTACCATCCCATTTACCATTTTCTTGACAGACTCGTCTACTCGACCCTTTAAGCTGGTAACCCTTCTTATAACACCTAAAGGATACTTCGCCCAAGTAAGTGGTCTTAATTTCCCCGATCTTCTCTCCGTGTTGAGGAATTGGCAAACGACCACAGTCCACAGCTATAAACCATTAGGGAAATAAATAGTGAGATATATTAAAGCTATTGCACGATTGGTGGATCACCATTCTAATATAGGCTCCTCCTAAACGCATCGCATAATGCGTTGTATGCAACGATAACACTTTAGTCAATACAAATTATGATATTATTTTCATAGTAATTCGGGGCATCTTCCGATGATTAATCCAAAGAGAAAAATGAAATAACTATATTCAATAAAGCCCAATCATAATATTCAAGGATTTTAGCATATAGCCTGGAGATTTTGTTTTCAAAGCAGTATAGTGCCTGGTTATCCTATTTCGCATTACTGTATTATAATGTTCTGTTCCGGCTTTTCTGGAATAATTTTATACCTAAGCATGTCGGTGTCATCTGATCCCATCGTCCATCACTGCATGTAATGATTTTTCTTCCAATTAAAASCATTCCTTTGTCACAAGTAAACACGACTTGGTCACCATGTTGGAAAGAATGGTTATATCGATGACCATTTATTGGTGTACCAGGATCCGGACAAGGAGCTTTTAAACAGACAAGATGATAGTCATGTAAGATATTCAATATTGCTTAGTACAGGCATCTTTAAATTCACTTTTCTGGCCCGTCATATTTAATTGTGTATGAATTACTGAGTCTGTAAGCTATGTAAGCTCTCACTTGAAWATCGAAACATTCCAACTGCCAGCCGCTGGCCTGCATGACAGCTTCATTTATTAAAAATTTGACTTAATATTACAAAGAAAAATCKCTTGAAATTTGATATTGGATTGACTTGTGGCCTACAATGTTTATTATAATAATATTAACATTAATGTACACATACCAGCACATTTTGGGGGTTGATTGTTCCACTTTYCATTAATGCACGTGGAAACGGAAGATCCAATGCGTTTAAAATAARAGTTACATTTAAACCTAACAGTTTGGCCATGAGCAATGTTTTTGCCAAGCTGAATACCATTTTTTGGTTGTTTGGGGTGCGGACATGGTGCTGTTAAAGATAAAATTGTGGAAAAACTTCACCTGAGGTATATATAATGAACGAGTATAGTATATAGAGTATAGTTCRGTAWAACCAAATGTAGTCTTCCTTGATTGCATTGTGGATACCTGAGCAATGTGGCCAATGTCCATCCCAAGAACCATCGCTTTGGCAAATTAGAGAGGACTTTCCAAGTAGTGTGTAACCTCTTTTACATTCAATGACAATTTTTTCTCCRGGAAAGAACTTGCTTYGTCGAGGTTTTTTCCTGCCATATCCTGGGTGATGGAAATTGGTACAGCTTACCTCTACAATAGAGTATTCAATACATTACATTAATTTGTTATTTTCTATAAGCTAAACATTTCAGATAGTATGCACTGTGAAGGTAGAAAATGGCAGTTTGGAAAAGTTTGAGTCCTCGTTGACAAAATCCTTGGACCATTCCAGCAAATTTCCTCCTTTTAAGCATCATTCGCAGACAGTTTCATCCTCCTAACCCCCAATTTACAAAATGTTGTCATTGAGCATGTTACCATTGTACACAACCATCCAAAACAAGACCCAACATTGAAGAAAGGGGGCTAAGGGGGAGAACTGTGAAAAAATAGGAGAACATTGTTAGGCTGGAGACAAATAATTCTATGGTCCAMGTTTTTTGGCAACGATTGTAGCTACCTAGGCATATTGGCTTATATCTATTCCAAGTTCCATCTCGTTGACATGTCAGTTCTGATTTTCCGATTCTTGTGTAGTTTATGTTACATGTAAACCTTATGGCTTCATTTGGCTGGTAAATGCTCTTGGTTGAATTGACTGCACCATTTGTTAGCCGACCAGGACTGATGCAGGTAGAATCTAAAAATGAGATCAATATAGATTTGAATTTCTTGCGCAATTCCAGGGAAAGAGATGATCATACTCAATTTAACTTCTAAACTGATGATTATCTAATATCAKCAGCTGGCCTGAACTTATAGCCGATTCAAAGGAAGTCCATTTTGAATGTTATATTCTGTTGATAATGAGTTGAGACTCATCACTTTGGTGAAAAATCACATGCCGTTTATAAGCAAGGATGTTATGAGATCATTCAATTTTATACATTCTAAGTCAGGGCAGCAGAAACCCTAATCCATCCCATCCAAGAATTACTAGATCCACACCAATGTTCAAGGCATTAATACCTACTGACTTTATGATAAATCCACGGTATAAATGGCTGCAGTCTTGTGTAGAACCCATAATGACTTCCTAGAGTACATCCACCCCAACTGACTAAACCAATTGTTACAAATCGGTATTTTCCATTAAGGAAAAACTTTCGTACCATACTCCCTCCACTGTCACCGTTACATGGCGCGCTGTGTCCTTTAACATCACTTGYACAAAATACTACCGTTTTGTTGAAGTGGAGGTTAATTGYTCTCCCACAAACATTGTTTGTCTCGATGGTAAACGAGGAGTAACGAAGAAACGAAGAACCATAACCGGAGTCAGTAATTCCCCAACCAGSAACCATTCCAACTGTACCTGGTTTGGCGWGGTCCAGGTCAGGTSCAGGWAGACAAACAGTGCGCACATACGGGCCGAGAATGACTTCACGGTTTAGTTTAACTAAAGCGATATCGTTCTCATASATGGGATCATGCCTGTAGTCGGGATGTACAAAGATTTCTTGGAATTGATGTTCTTGTTCTGATGATTCATAGCTTGATAATTCATGATCGCCAACTTTGATTTTATACCTGGGACAAAAGTCATCTTGATACTCACTCWTCAACAATTGACTCGAACATTRTAAAACGGTCAGCAGCTTAACTTACTTTGCGAGTGGTTTTATATCTTTWTCAAACCAAACCCTATTTGTAGTGTTTTTACCAACGTAAAAGCAATGTGCAGCGGTAAGAACCCATTGTCGAGATACCAACGCACCACCACACAAGAATTTCCATCCTGACACTGATGATAATGTAAAAAAAGATAAGATGATACATTCCAGACCAGAAGAGATACTTTGATGCCTTCTATTTTATAGATAATTAAAAAGGTTAGCTCTCTATTCATATGATACCCCGTAGTAAAGATTTTCTTATCACCTTGTTTTTTGTATATACCAACTTGCCAAGGCCACATGCCTCGTTGCGAGATTTTTCCTCCGACAACCAAGCTGCGTATTTTGATTAATCTCTCTCCACAATGGTCATCTATGAAACAAACGTGTATTTCATTTCTTTCCTATCTCTAGGGGGTGGTGGCTAGAGAGAAGATTGAGAGAGAGTCTAGATACAAAAACTAAGACCTCTTGAATGGTTTCCGAGAGTGTTTGAAAAGTGCTTCACATTACTTATAAAATTTGTGAATTAAGTCGCACTGAGTCGTCTATCCTGTCCATCCTCGTTCTTTTAAGCAAATTATGATGAAATGGTAAGGTGCTGACCTCATATCACATCGCTTGCAGTGGGTCCAAATGTACAGTTGGCAAAATTTCAGATACTTACATTGCATTGATAAGACATTTAATGCGATGTTTACTATCAGTATAATTACCAAGAAGATAGTTCGCTTCATTATCTAAATAAACAATCAATGAAATTATATCATATCAACCGCCAAGTAATTATGCAACCACTTATATCGTAATAAATGTAATATTATGAAGTCTGTGAATGAACTAGCTCGTACGCCGTCCGCATTCTGAAATATTGAGTGTTTTTGATTACCAGAAATTGATTCAATGGGCAAAAACGTTGAAAGTAGAGGTACTAAGTTCGACCTWACATGCTGCAATACTGGTCTTACTGTTTAAGTAGAAGCTAATAAAAACATAAGATACTTTATTCATTACATGTTTTTTTGAATTGAAAGAGGAGGTCATATCACATCTTTTATAAGTAGACATATGTTACGTTTTTATTGATATTTTATTCTACATGCCATAATTCATTTTACTCACCGACAAACACATCCACTGAAATCCAGACCCGAATGCTAATGATGGTGCTTCTATATAAGCGGAAGTGATCTACTGAACGTGTTTGTTCATATCATATTCATAAGAAAAGTAATACACTCTGTCTGCAGGGACCACAGGTCAATAAGAAATCGCTTTTAATTGTGCGACGCAATAAATGTTTGTCTTTTAAGATACGGAGTGTCTAAACGTCAGGCAGCCTGACGTTTAGTAGTGCCAGGACTAAACGTCAGGCATTCGAATTTTTTCTTAAAAAATCTTCGGAACAACCGTAATTTCAATTAATACAACAAGGGAAATGCAATAAAGACCGAAATAATTTTCTAACACTGCTGATATTAGACGGGCAATTGTTCCGACGATTTTTCACAAAAAAATTGACTGCCTGACGTGTTAGTGAAGTGAAGTGAAGTGTTAGAAAATTTGACTTCCCCACTATGGCTGGTCACCCTATTCCCAGTACCCACTTTTCAATTTCCACCTCCCCTCCCCCTGCTAATTTTTTTCAAGACCCTTATTTCGGTCTTTATTGCAATTGTTCCGACGATTTTTCACAGAAAAAGTCAACTGCCTGACGTTTAGTTTTGGGACTAAACCCAATTATACTGACATCCATCAAAGACAATAAGAAGTTTTTGATAAGAAGTTAATCCTGAGACAGTGAAACGGTATTTCTACTATTTCTACGGTGTTGTGAAAATATTACCCTGTTCAAGACACACAAAAAAATTATATCGGTCT